AACCCTACACTCGAATCCTATTTCTTTCAAATTTCATTAGAGAGAGAGAGATGCTAGAGTGAATAATTGTGAAGTTACGTTTAGTCGAATAATTAGAGCTCGAAGAAAACATTTGTTTTCATGGGAAGCAGCGCGGGGCTCTTCCTTCGATCCAAAACCTTCGTATACAACTTCAAGAGTATACACGAAAAGACTTTCGGGCGTAACTCTACCCCAGGAGCAAGAAAAGGTTTTCGCGAAACAAGTCCAAGGGCCGTGCAGAAACTGGCTCGGCGTTCCCTTTGCATTTCAACTTTTCTCTCTCGGAGGGACAACGACGGCGCTCCACGGAAATCCAAAATGAATTTCCCCGTCACTGGCTAATTTGAAGATAGAACCAAAAGGAAAATTGCTTCCTGCAGTTAAGCAGCCGAAAGCTCGCTCATTTTTTTCCATTTACCGGCTTATCCATTCATTGAATAACTGTTATTTTCAAGTCTCACTTCCACAGTAAGAGAAACAGCAAACTGTAAGAGAGAACCGCCAAATACAAGAAGGGGAAGGAGTGGAGTGCTGGGCCACTCGTGCTTCACAGTGTAGCATCAGCTGTCGTGTGACATCAGCGACAGCAGAGGTTTACATTACTTTTGGGGAGTGAAATGTGAGTATTTTCTTTAAATTTTTTTTTGCGATTGTCGCTGTATATGTGCAGATCGAGCAATGAGTATTTTTCCACGTTATAAGATACATATTAGTACATAAAAGGCAGTAGTTACTTTTCATGTAAGCTATGTTGTGTTTACATGCATGGTTACTTTTTTTTTCAAATGAGTGCGGTGGATACGGTTGTGACATGTTGCCTGGGTACGGTTGGGACACAAGTAAAATTAGTTTTTTTCTTTTCAGATGCCTCGTGAACGTTCCAGGAGAACGGCAAGGGGTACGTGCAATGTTAAAAGGCATACAATGATACAAAGCAGGAAATTTCTGTACGAAAAGCTGCAGGAATGCACCAAGTAAATCTCATGACATTATCGCGATACGCTCGTAAACGTGATGCAGCCAATGCCAACGGCAATAACGGAGGTAGCGTCAGTATAGGTTGCGTTGTTCACAACAAAGTCTTTTTCAAGGAGCACTAACAGCGGTTGTCAAAATACCCACTATGTTGCGAGGATATATACTTTGGGTATATAATATCTATAATAATAAATTATAATGTTCAAAAGTAGATATAAGACATAAAGTGTTCCAAATTTGATGCCTTTAATTAAAAATTAATGTTAAATTTTCCAAAAAAAAGTGCTGTTACATTATGTTCAGCATAAGATACAATAAAAGTGATTTAAAACGGTTTTAACGTATTTTTTTAACCTGTCACAATCATCCCCAGGCATTGTCACAACCGCCCCAGGGGTGTGGTTGGTCGTGATAGATTTTTTTTTTCTGTTTGCTTGTACGTGTAAACGGCTGTAAGTCATAATTTTTGTACACACATGTAGAGGAGTCTTCAATTTATCATGCCTAGCAATTTTCATTCCACTGAACCTCATACTTTCAAAGTTACGGGCACAGCCGTACCCAGTCTCCCCCTACCTATTTGTATTACGATACCTTCACCGAAATCGTGCAATACACTTGCATCTGTCCCAATAAAGTACACTTGACGAGTTTCCACGTAAAGCCAGAGTGATTGAAAACCCACTCACTGGAAACAGTCTTGCAATTATTCAAACACGGTTTCCGACTCCCGGAGACTAACAAAAGTTTTTTATACGTCACCGCTCGTTGAAAAAAAAAAGAAAAAAGAAAAGAAAACGAAAAACAATGAACGGCTGTGCGGGTACACGTGGAGGGGCCACGCGCGTGTTTCCATTAACAGCCCGCGGAGTAAAATCGCGGATGCCGTTCGCGCGCGACAAATCCCGCGGGAGAGATATCTCCCTCCCTCGCCCCGGCGCTTCGCGGCCGAGTAATTAATTCCCCAGCAGTAGTAGCTCTGCGCAGCTAGAAGCTCCACACATAGTACGGGGGGGAGAGACACACGAGGTGGGTGGAGTTGGGTCGTAAATCAAGGGCTGGCTCGCTTTCTCCCTCTTTCCAGCGTTAATCATACTTAGGTTTATCGGTCACGTGGAGCCGGAGAGAAATTCAAGACGCTCCCACGGCGCGGATTTTCACCTCTGTGAGGAGGCGTATAGCGCCGTATCCAAGAAATAGGATTGCGGTTGATTGAAACGTTTGGTGAGGCGCCAAATATCACCCTCTGCTACACTGCCCACTGGGGCGCACCGCTGAAAACTTCATTCCCCGGATCCCCACTGCCTTTTGCCATCTGATTTGCTTTGTCGTTAATGTCATGCGGGGTTGTTTTTTAATTCCGTAACACCCGAGTAGTTTCGAGGATAGAGGAGCTCATCATTTCCCGATGTTTAAATAGTTGTTAGCAGAGCCGCGCGAATATTCCGGTCGGCGGAACGAAAGTTTCAGACTGGGCTCGAGTGATTTTTCGGTGTCGCTTTATCTGATTCTCGTACGCGCGCGTGAACTCGGGTCTCACATGCAGAGGTCTATGCGCAAAATAAATGCGAATGAATAGAGTGACGCGTTTTTGTTTTTTTTTCAGAATATCTCGTAGTTTTTCGTCCAGCGCTCCGAAGAACGACATGTTCCATTGGACGTGATGTTTTTACCATTTAATCTAGTTTTCGGGGGTGTACCCAGTATATATCTGCTTTATCTGATTGAAATGATGAAAACTGAGCCACGGGGATTGAATTTATGACGCGTGTTTTCGGGATTGATTAAAAGTAACATGCGTGCCCCGCACACGTTCAATCGAAAAAAATATCGAGTTTTAATTGCTTGAACTGCCGGTCCATTGTTAATTCAGCGGTAACGTGATGTAACTCTGTTATTGCGATTGCCGCAGTCCCTTCGTTGCTCGGCTAAAAAGATCCGATTCCACAGTGTACCATAAAACAAAATAAAAAAAAAAAAAAGGAAAAAAAGATCATCCCTTTGAAACACTAGAAGCGTCAGGATGGAATGAAAGCCCTGGCGCCTTCGTCACCCGTAAAACGCCGCAGAGAGTCACAAATCCTCTGAATAAACAAACAAACCAACAAACAAACAGAAAGCGAGAAACATAAAAAATGGGGAAAAAAGAGGAAAACGCCTATGGAATCGGAAGTGGCGAAAAGAATGAAGAATTGCAGCGACGACAATGCGTCTTCCTCCGCTCGGCAAGTAAATCACACTAAGACAAGCCGAGAGAGATACAGAAGCTTGGGAATTAAACAAAGGGGCGTCAGCTATACTACGCCTTTCTTCGAGCAGGACAAGAATCTCCTTCGAGAAAGGCCGAGCAGAGCCTCTTTCTCTTCTCTCTCCCCCAAGATTTATTATGCGCGTGAATAGCAGGGCCATACACTCGTACACGTACGTGTATAAGCGTACACGTGCACGATGAGAGGAGAGCTGCATTAAAGCTAAGACACTTATCGTCAATTAATCACGCTTAACGTCGGCTCGTCGGCTACCGTAAGTATGTATGGGTATACGCACGTATAACCGGGGCCGTCAGTGGAAATGGTATTTATGGTAAAAGCACACTCGATTGCCCGTGTGTGGGTCTCAAACGCACGTGCGCCCTCGGGAGGCTTTTTATTCCTCCGTGTATTATGTGAGGAAAAAAAAATGTCCTGCCAACGTTTTTTTTGACCCAAGTTTTATTAATTGCCATTATACCCCGCAACAACGCTTACACCCAAAGCACGTCTCCCCCCACCCCCTTCCAAGTCCGTCAAGTGGTCTTTTCAATAGTTTTTTCCCCGCAATAACACTGTCACGACGCACGTGGCTGACAAATGATATTCTTTTACCTCGAAATTCTTGCGCAATGTGTTTGATCTGGCTGTGTATTTTTCGCTAAAAAAAAAAAAAGTGTATCTCCGCGTAACACCTCGGTACCTCTGCGACGTATAGATACAAGCGCAATTTGTCAAAGAGGAGTGACGCGTAATTTATGGTTATTAAAACGTAGACTTACACTTGTATTAAGACACAAAAGGTAGAGGCGATGTGTGCCACTGACAAGTGACAAGAGGTGATAAGAGTGATGTATGTATACGCAGCTACGCGGCTCTGAAAAATACGCGGGCGAGGAAGGGGATATCCGCGCAAAAGTGTCAGACTGGCTGATCGAGTTATTATTATTGTCGCGGGTGTATTTTGTTCTCGCGCGTAATGACATTTCCGTGTCGCGTGAAAAACGAATGGGAAATAATGCGACGGGAGAAAAAAAAAAAAAAAAAAAGAGATGTAGGGACGAAAGGAGGCGAGGACAATTTTTTTTTCTCCATCTCGCCCTTCACCCTCTTTTGCGCGCGTGCCTGAAGCCTTTTCAATTCTAACATCAAAATTCGCTCAGCTGCAGCATTCGAGAGAGTCGGGACTCGGGGGGAAGCGAGATGTTTATAGCCCAGAAATTGGCACGGCGACAGCTCGCCGGGCTGCACGCTTTGGCTCCTCCGATGCAAACGATTTTTTTTCAATCATCGAGCTTTTTAATTCCCCTTCGTGCCATTGCGTTTTAATTACGCAAATATTTGATGGGAACTGGTGCGGGTATCGGGTTGCACTTAAAAGGAAACGCTGGCGATTGATGTACGAAATACAATAAATATTGGTACTGATAAAATTGCAATTAAAATCAGCCGAATTTCAATCATACGCTATCGAACGGATGGATGAACAAAAAATGGCTCGTATATCATTGGATTCGGCGAGGGTTGATTTATCATCGTATTTCGTATCAACAAGATATGACGTGGTGGATATGTGTATCCTCGGAAGCATTTTTATTGTCATCGGGCTCGGATCCAAGGGGAAGAGGGACGAGCGACACATGTCGAGGGGCAGAGAGGGAGAGTAGCCACAGACGAGCGCCCGGGATACGGGATGTGCACTGTGGGTTGGTCTAGGGGGTAGGGGGGGTATGATTAATCACGTGGACTTACCGACGACTTCGAGGATCAGGAATATACTGGTGGGCGGGTGGGTCGAGACTTGGCACTCGTAGACGCCCGCGTCCCTATTCTGGACGTATTTGATTTGCAAGGTCCAGTCCTCGCTGTGCTGAAAGTGCCGGGTCTGAAATCTCTCGTCGCTCGCGTACGTCGTCAGGCCCACGGTTAACAGCTGGTGGTCCTTTTTCCTTCTTATCCAGGTCACCTGCAACACGCACGTCAAGTTTTTTTTACTTTTACATGCTACCTTTGAAAAAAAAAAAACTTTTCGTTTTCATTTCATCATGTTTACTATCTTGTAAACCAAAAGGAGGAAGTAAAAACGAGCCTATACATACAAAGTTGAAAAAAGAGGAAGTAGAAAAAGAAAGAAAACGGGAGTGCGCGCAGTTGTTAGAGGGGGCTTAAGCAAACCCTATCAGACCGAACAAATATTTCTTTATTCGAAGGAGCTTTCTGAGGGAACGAAGAAGAAGCAGGAGAGCTTTTTTTCTCCTTTGCCTCTTCTCCCGCGTGCACATGCACACGTACCTACTCTTTATTGTACGACTGACTACAATCGCACGACGAGGACCTGCTGCAGCTCTCTCTCTCTTTTTCTTCGAGAGATGGCCTAATAAACGCGTCAAATGGCTTTTCCTTATTCTCCTTCTTTTTTCTTTTTCTTTCTTTCGTTACTTTTTTGCGCATGTATGTTTTTTCTTATTTTTTTGTTATATCTACTCTGTAGAGAAACCAGTCGAATTTCACGGCTTGTCGGGAGACGATTGCTTCTTCGATCGGTTTTTCATTTCGATAAAATATCGGATTTATAAATGAAATCCGAACGATTTCGTGCTCATCCGCTACTCGAGAAATGATTTTCCTGCATCTAACGCACAATCGGCGCTTCAGTGCCGAAATGTTTAATAATAAACGTGGGCGGGTACACACGATGCGACGTACCTGATGCGCGTCATCGGCTTTGGGGGTCAAAGACGACATCGTTCGGCGATCGTTCCAAGAATTTCCCATCGATAACAGCTTCAAAGCCATCTTTGTTGCTCGGAGCAAGTAGCAATGTGTGCGCAGTGTAGCAGCCACGCCAACATTGAAGAACACTTAGCACTAAAACGTCACCCCACGTACACACAGAGCGTTGGGGGGGGGGGCGGTTTGGTAGGCGAGACAGGACCCCAATTTTGATTGCAATTAGGACCACGCGTAGCAACAAGCGCACTTGGCTTACACATGCACGCCGCTCCTTCTCATCCTCCTCCTTCTCTTACACCACGGCCTTTTCCCACTCGAGCGCAGTTGCGTCAGGATATACATGAATTGCTCTTCGTGGTTGAACTGCTTCACAACCAAAACTTTGATATAATTTTCCATGAAATCAAGAGGTTGCGGACAAAGTGATGAAAAGTCACTTTCGAGAAGTTATTGTTCTTCCCAGTGGGTACGTGACTTTTGTCGATAGACCAGAAAAACATTTTTCGAAAAAAAAATCCCCGATGAACTTTAATTGCGTCCGTATCGCTTTTATCAACTGCAAACTCGCTTGTCCATGTTTTATGGAACTTCGTATTAGCTCTCGCGTTGTACCTACACGAAACAATAAATCCGAGCTCACGCGCTCTTTCTTCTTACTTTGCTTCGCGGCAAAGTTCGGAGTAGACCGGACTCTCGTGTCTTTTTTTCCCACTTTCCTTCCGACAAAAAATTAAAAGCCAGCGTATCCCTTCCCCCCCCCCTCCCGTTGTCCGACGTCAGCGCACGTTTTTTACCTCAAACGCGCACGTGCGACACCGCGTTTCTCGTACCGGGAGACAAAATCTCGGGAATCTGGGGCGGTATTTGTGGCCGAATCAGATACGAGCTAAGAAACGGCCGAGTCACGGTCTCTTGGCTCTTTGAGACTCGCGTCCCCGCCTCCCATTGATAAAAAGCTCGCGTATAATGTACACACGTGTCCGTGATAAACGTCCCTGGGTATACACCGCGTATAAATACAAACACTCGTATGTCGCTCGATTTGACAAATTTACAGCGATACGTACAGGTATACTGGACTCGGGGTGGAGCACGTCCCCTTTTTATTTTCATAACAGCACGCTCGTTCGTAAATTTTATACGGAAGTCGATAGGACGCGGCCACACGCACATAATCGTTTCACAGTCGTTACTTTTTATCTCCGAAACGATTTCAACCGTTTGTCGTGCGTGGAGTAAAATAATTTTTCTTTTTTTTTTTTTTTTCTATACATCCAAGTGATTTAGTATTTTTGGCGTGATTTATCTCCACCATAAATGTACATTGGCGAAAACATCCGTTCGTTATAGCACTCGAACCCTGGAGGTTTTAATTATCTTTGTTTCCCTCTCCCGCCCTTGTTTTCATTCGTCCCGTTCTCTCCCAAAGAAAAAAAAAAGAAAAAAGGTTCGCGGAAACAAAGAGACAAAGAGTCTAAATAACGTCGGCATTCATCGGGAGCGAGCGATCCGAGTCACATCCGAGATTACGAGGGATCGATCACGCCGATCGTCCCCCTGGCCTCTTTTTCTAATTCACCGCGTCTCTCTGTGCGTGTGTACGGTGAGCTCGAGAACGAAACGGATCCGCCGTGAGTCGTAAATCGAAATAATCTCGTTCGAGTTTAATGAAACCTTTTTTCCTCCCGTTGCAGTGATGGGAGGGTATATTTTTATCATTCAAAACGCTTCTGACTCACCCGACGCTCCAATTAATCGCGAATAGGACGATCTCGGGGTAACGGGGAGCAACGGCCATCCGAGCCATCGCCGTTAATCCTTGAGGTATCTCGTGTCCCGGTGAAATCTGCTTGTGCATCAATTTTTCTCTCCCCCTATCTTTTCAGCTCCTGCTGCAACAGCGGCAGAAACGCAATACCTCATTTTGCTCTGCACGAGGAGAAGAGGGGGATGGGGTCTGATGTTTCTCTCTCGCCGGGGGGGTTGATTGTCGGGGCTCTCGCGAATAGATGAGCTTTCTTTCGCGGCGCGCATCAATCATTCGTTAGCTCTCGCTCTGTTCTGCGCCCCGTGCCCGAGTTTATAAGGGCCGGTGGAAGAAGGAAAAGTCGGGAGCTGGAAGAAAAGAGGAAAACAAATTTTAATTGTCTCGCCAGCGGTGAAGAATCGCCCCGGGGAGAGAGAGCGAGACGGCAATTGATCACGATGCGGGGCCAGAGTGGCCGAGAGCCATTACGTTCTTCATGGTTATCTCTCCGCCTCCCGTGATTGTTAATCTTTCCCCTCCACCGCTGCTGATGCGGATTTTGCGCCTTTTTTTTTTTTTTTTTCGTCGATAGTGCGTACGATTGCGTTTTGTGTGCGCTTCAATTTGTTGGAAATTATGATACAAAGGATATACAGGTTTCATGGGAGTAGTTAATTTTCAAGGGATGCTTGGCGTTTCGTTTCGTTAATTAAATAGCTGCGGGTTCGTTTGATGATAAAGAAGAGATTTGTAGTCAAACACACCTTATCGGAATTCTATTTCGAATTGAATAAAACTTTATTCTTTGACTGGACACCAGATTAGTTGCGAGTCAGCGAATTTTTCAGTTAATTACGTATTGACGCCAGCGATGGACGTCTTTCGAGCACTTTTCTTTGATTCATCAATAAGCCATCGTGTTACAAAAGATAAAAGCGCGATATCCTTTGCGGGCTTTAAATAAAAGGAGAGAGGGAAAAATAGATTCCTGAAAAAAAAAAGAAAAACGATAAAAAACCGTAATGACATAAAACAGGATTATGCAAAAGAGAGCGTGGAAATGAATTTCCGAAAAATTTTTCCGCGAATTTCTACGAGACTAAACGCCCGCATTCAGCACTGGATGCTAGTTCGAGCGAAAATAGCCATAGGGAAGAGGGTGAGGCAGAAAAGGGGATAAAACGCATGGAAATATGTTTTGACGCATAAAATAAATTTCTGGGCGAAATTGTTCCGGTGGAGCGAGAATTTTCTTCTCCCTCCCCTCGCTATCTGTTCCACTGCAGCAGTCGGGCGGTAGTTGCGAACGGATAGGGGATCCTTGCGCTTGGACGTTGTACTTTTTATATACGTAGTACGTATGTCACGCTGGTGCTGAGAGACAAGTAATTTTGTGGTACTGTACGCCAAAAATTTTGTTGAGTACGTTAATGTGCTTTTAACTAGACGGTGATTGAGTTTTTTTTACTCGATCGTTTTGTCAGCCGTGCATTGAGACTCATTAAAGTGCTTATTAGATAACAGTAGTAAAGGTCAATATTTGGTCAGGCATCAATCAGAAATCAACAATTACTGACATCATTAATCAAGAGTAGTAGATACAGTTGTTATATTTGAACGACAATTGTCACACTAAACAAGTAGTTCTACACAAAAACTAACAGTAGTAGGGATCAACATTTGTTCAGGCATCTATGGAAAATTACAAATTTAATGTATAATTTATCAACAGTAGTAGGTATGAATATTTGATCAGCCACCTATCAAATCTTATTGTAGGTATAAAATTTTCAAGTAGTACTTATTGGTATTTTTTTAGACAGTTATTGATAGAGATCGATAAATTTGACAAATTAAGATCAAAGATCAAGATTAAAGATCTAGAAGTAGGAATCGTTATTTGGTCAATTATCTATCAAGTATCAATAATTTCAACCATTACCAACCAACAGTAGTAAGGATCGATGTTGTGATAGTCAGCAATCAACAACCAATAATTTAACGAATAATGAAGTAACAGTAGTAGGGATCAATATCCAGTCCGACATCTACCAAGAAGCCAAGACCTTAGGCTGCAACACAACGCGTAACTAACAGAGCCTCTCACTCGAAAAATTGGACAAGCGTATCCTAAGCGTCAAATTTCGTTCCACTATACAAATGTCACTTGGAGCCAGGAGCTGTCATCCGCAAGACTTCATAGAACCCCCGTGGTGACGTACTTTTGCGTCCTTATTGAAGCATGGATTCCTCCGTTTAATCAACTGCACGTACGAGATGACAACCTTCCTTCATCTCGCAAATGAAGCCTATCTGCCGAGGTGAATTCCGCTTGTGGCCCGCACGAGTGGGTATTGCTTTTGCTCAACGAGCTTTGACGCGATCCATCGCGTCGTTCGTGCTCGTCTTTAGAAGTACACGTGTGCAGCTCAGCATCAGAGAAGTGTGTGTATTATAATAACAAGGTAGTATTCGCTCGTGGCTGA